CCCCCCCCAGGTCCCTCTACCGGTTGTGTCCCCCCAAACCCCCCCGTGCCCCCACCTGGGTTCCAGTCAATGGCGCTGTCAACGGGGCTGGAGATCTGGTACTTGTCCGAGTAGCGCTCGATATCTGGGGGGTCCCAGAGCAGGATGGGGGGAGTCAGTGGGGTGCTCCCTGCAGGCTGGGACCCTCCGCCCCCCTCCCCCCCCCCGGTACCTCTCCGGGGTGCCCCCGGCTTTACGAAGTAGGGGAGGTTCCTCATGGCCCCCCTCAGCTCCTGCTTCAGCGCTAACATGTACTCGCCCTCCTCGCCCCCCGGCAGTGGGGCCGCGCGGTGCTCCAGGGGCTGGGGGAGGATCAGGGCACTGAGCACACCCGGGCTCAGCCCCTCCCAAGGGACCAAGGACCGTGCCCGTCCCCAGGAACTCACCGGGAAGAGCGGGGAGGGCTGGAGCGTGGGGGGGGGCAGCGCCTCCCCCTTCCCGATGCCCACGGCCTCCACGTTGAACGTCATCTGCCCCCGGCCCCGGCCGCGGCCCCGGCCCGCCATGGCTGGGGGGGCGCGGGGGGCGCTGGGGGGAAGAGGCGGGGATTGAAGGGGGGAGATGGGGCAGCCCCCCCTGAGCTGAAGGGAGGACCCCGGGGGGCATGGGGGGCAGCGGGGTCGGAAGGGACGGGGGGGGAGGGGGGAGACACGAGGAACCCCCCCCCCCAAATCCGATCCCGGTACGGGTCCCGGTCCTCACCTCGCGCATGCGCAGCCGCTCCACGTGTGTCCGGTGTCGCCGGAGCAACGCAACGTTGCGAAAGGGCCGCGCTGATTTGCGGATGGAAAAGCCAATCAGAGGGGAGGAGGCGGGAAAAGGGGGCGGGGCTAAGGGAGGAGAATGAAGGCATGAATGGGGCAGGGGCGGGAATGAATGGGGACGGGGACGGGGACGGGGACGGGGACGGGGACGGGGACGGGGACCGGGACCGGGACCAAGACCAAGGTGGGAATACAGAAGGTCCCTGTTTCCCACCCCGCTGCCCTGGGGCGTCTGAGCCTCCCAGCACTGTGGCCTCACTGCCCCATAGCCCCCACTGCCCCATGGCCCACTGTGATATGGATGCACAGCCCCGTGGTTCTCCACACCCCTCTGGTGTGACAGCCCGCTCCCCAGCCCCACTGCCCCATGACCCCCGAAACTCCAATACCCGATGGTCCCCAGCCCCATGGCCGCCAGAACCCGTGCCCCCCCCCCCTCGCCGAGCCCCACGGCGGCCTCTCGCTCGCCCCCACGCAGGGCTCGGCGCAGCAGGTTCGGCGCTGGCTGCGCCGCCGCCGGGTGATTCATCTCGCTCCAGCCCTCCCCGCGCCAGCAGCCGCCAAAAATAGCGATGCAGGGGGGGGGGAAAGCCTCCAAATAACCTCCGCTGCCTCCCTCCCCCCCCCCCTTCCCCGCGCTACGCCAGCGGCGGGCCGGGATGGCAGCCACCGGCCGATGGCCCCGACACCTCCATCAGCCCGGCAGCATCTGGGACCTGGACCCATCGCCGGGGGATACCCAGCTCCGGTCGCTATGGTAACAGAGGAAGGGATGGAGGGATGCGGGAGAGAGGGGCTAGGGGGGGTGTCGTCGTCCCCCCCCCCCAGGGGGTACGGTGCAGTCCCAGGCACTAGGCTCAGGCTCGGTGGCCGCTGGTGTCTTGCTGGGGGGGTGGATGAGGACCCGCCGGGGGGGGGGGGGGGGGGGGGAGGGAAATGGGGAGGGGGTGTCCCCTATTTTGTTGGCTGGGCAGAGAGATGAGGAGCGGGATGAGCTGCGGTCGCCATGGGAACGCATGCAGGGATGCAAGAAGGGAGGGGGGGTACAGGCAGGGATGCAGGAAAGGATGGGGGATACAGGCAGGGCTGCAGGGAGGATGGGGATACAGACAGGGATGCATGAAGGGATGGGGCTACAGACAGGGATGCAGGAATGGATGGGGATACAGACAGGGATGCAGGAAGGGATGGGGATACAGACAGGGATGCAGGAATGGATGGGGATACAGACAGGGATACAGGAAGGGATGGGGATACAGATGGGGATACAGACAGGGATGCAGGAATGGATGGGGATACAGACAGGGATGCATGAAGGGATGGGGCTACAGACAGGGATGCATGAAGGGATGGGGCTACAGACAGGGATGCAGGAAGGGATGGGGATACAGACAGGGATGCAGGAAGGGATGGGGGCTACAGACAAGGATGCAGGAATGGATGGGGATACAGACAGGGATGCAGGAAGGGATGGGGATACAGACAGGGATGCAGGAAGGGATGGGGATGCAGGAAGGGATGGGAATACAGACAGGGATGCAGGAAGGAATGGGGGGTACAGACAGGGATGCAGGAAGGGATGGGGGTATGAACAGGGATGCAGAAGGGGATGGCGGGTATAAACAGGGTTCCAGGAGGGGGATATGGGCAGGAGGTACAGGCAGGGGGATGAGCACCACCCTGGAGGGACACGGGCAGGGGACAGGGCAGAGGCCCTGTGGGGGGGGGCTCGGGCCCCTTCTGGGGAACCTGAAGCAGGGCCGGGGGTGTTCACCGCGCGCCGTGTCCCGTTGCAGTGAGCGGGTGACGCTCCCGGCCCGGCCCCAGCCCCGGCCATCGCCGCTGCCGTAGGCGCCGCCATGCCCAGCCCCGTGCGCCGGCCGCCCGGTGCCGCCGCTCTGCCCATGCTGCCCGCGGACGGACGGCGCTGCTGCGGGCCGTGGCCCAGGGCAAGTTCCGCCTCACGCGGCTCTTGCTGGAAGGAGGAGCCTACATCAACGAGGGCAACGCCGCGGGGCAGACGCCGCTGATGGCCGCTTGCCGCGCCGGCTACGCCGACCCCCTGGAGCAGCCGCGGATGGTGCGGTACCTGCTGGAGAACGGCGCCGACCCCAACATCCCCGACAAGACGGGGATGACGGCGCTGATGCACGCCTGTGCCGAGCGCGCCGGCCCGGCCGTGGCCACGGTGCTGTTGGCTCACGGAGCCGACCCCAGCGCCCGCGACTACGCCGGAGCCTCCGCTTTGGTTTACGCCATCAACCGCGGGGACCGGGAGACGCTGCAGGTGCTGCTGGATGCGTGCAAGGCTCGGGGGAAGGAGGTGATCATCATCACCACCGACACCTCCCCGTCGGGCACCAAGACCACGCGGCAGTACCTCAACTCGCCGCCGTCGCCGGGGCTGGAGGAGAAGCGCTCTCCGGCGCTGTGCATGTCCCCGTCCGACATCGAGCTGCGCGCGGCCGCGTCCCCGGCGGGCAGCGAGAAGGAGGAGGAGAGGGACGTGTTCTGCTTCCCCCCGCCGCCGCCGCCGGCACCGGTCACCCCCAGTGCGGAGCCCCCGCGCTCCCGCGGGCGGCCGCTGAAGCGCCTCAACTCCGAGCCCTGGGGCTGGCGGCGCCGGGCCCGGAGGGGACGCGGGGTCCCCCCGAGCGCCTGGTGGCGGGGCTGGAGGGGCTGAGCCTGGGCGGGCGCCCGCGGCGCCACAGCGTGGAGGGCCGGGAGGCGGCGGGGATGGCGGGGGCCGCCTGGGGCCGAGCGGGTGCTCCCCGCCTGCCCGCAGCCGCTGCCGCGCCGCAACACGGCCCCGGAGGCGGCGCCGTGGCTCAAACCGCTCCGCTTCGAGGCGGAGGGGGCCCCGTGGGCGCTTCCCCGCCGCTGCCCGGCGCTGAGTCCCCGCCCGGCCCCCGCCGCCGCCCCCCGGGGCTGCTGGAGCGCCGCGGCTCCGGGACGCTGCTGCTGGAGCCGCTGGGCTCGGGCAGGGCCGGTTTCCTGCCGCCGCTGCCGGCCGGGCCGCACCCCCCCGCGCCCCGCGGTCCCCCCGGGCGCAGGCTGCTGCGGCGGCACTCGATGCAGACCGAGGAGATGCGGCTCCTGGCCGGCTTCCAGAGCAGCCCGGCCCCGGAGCCGGGCACTTAGAGCCCCCCACCCCCGGCCCGGGGCAGGCGGGGCCGTGTTCGCTCTGAACCCTACCGATGGCTTCGGCCGCGCTGCTGCTGTGGGCAATTTTGCACGACCCCAAAGCCCTTGGGGAGCCCGTGTCCGGCTCCTTCCCCCGCCCCGCATCTTCCTCCCTCTCCCTCCTCATCCCCCCCCTCCTTCTCCCTGCTGGGTGCCGGGGGGGTCACGCTGTCGGTGTCCTGGTCAATAAAGGCCCGAGCACAGCTCAGCCCTTGTCAGTGCTGGGAGGGGGAACATCTGCGCACAGCTGGGTGTCAGTGCACAAGGAGTGGCACAGCTGGGTGCTGGCACATCGGGGCCAGGGGATCCTGGTGGCTCCCAGGGGGCAGGGGCAGAGGCTGAGGATGCTGTGAAGGTGCAGAGGGTGCACTGAGGGTACAGTGAAGGTGCTGTGGGTGCAGTGAGGGTGCAGTGAAGGTACTGTGGGTGCAGTGAAGGTGCTGTGGGTGCAGTGAGGATGCAGTGAAGGAGCTGTGGGTGCAGTGAGGATGCAGTGAAGATGCAGTGAACGTGCTGCAGTGAGGATGCAGTGAAGGTGCTGTGGGTGCAGTGAGGATTCAGTGAAGGAGCTGTGGGTGCAGTGAGGGTGCAGTGAAGGTGCTGTGGATGCAGTGAGGGTGCAGTGAAGGTGCTGTGGGTGCGGTGAGTGCAGTGAAAGTGCTGTGGATGCAGTGAGGATGCAGTGAAAGTGCTGCAGTGAGGGTGCAGTGAAGGTGCTGTGGATGCAGTGAGGGTGCAGTGAAGGTGCTGTGGATGCAGTGAAGAAGCTGTGGGTGCAGTGAGGATGCAGTGAGGGTGCAGTGAAGGTGCTGTGGATGTAGGGAGGCTGCTGTGAAGGTGCTGTGGGTGCAGTGAGGATGCAGTGAAGGAGCTGTGGGTGCAGTGAGGATGCAGTGAAGGTGCTGTGGATGCAGTGAGGGTGCAGTGAAGGTGCTGTGGATGCAGTGAGGGTGCAGTGAAGGTGATGTGGGTGCGGTGAGTGCAGTGAAAGTGCTGTGGGTGCAGTGAGGATGCAGTGAAAGTGCTGCAGTGAGGATGCAGTGAAAGTGCTGCAGTGAGGATGCAGTGAAAGTGCTGCAGTGAGGATGCAGTGAAGGTGCTGTGGATGCAGTGAAGGTGCTGTGGGTGCAGAGAGGATGCAGTGAAGGTGCTGTGGGTGCAAAGAAGGTGCAGTGAAGGTGCTGTGAATGCAGTGAAGGTGCTGTGGGTGCAGGGAGGCTGCAGTGAAGGTGCTGTGGATGCAGTGAAGGAGCTGTGGGTGCAGTGAGGACACAGTGAAGGTGCTGTAGGTGCCATGAGGCTGCAGTGAAGGTGCTGTGGGTGCAGTGAAGGAGCTGTGGGTGCAGTGAGGATGCAGTGAAGGTGATGTGGGTGCGGTGAGTGCAGTGAAGGTGCTGTGGATGCAGTGAGGGTGCAATGAAGGTGCTGTGGGTGCAGGGAGGCTGCAGTGAAGGTGCTGTGGGTGCAGGGAGGCTGCAGTGAAGGTGCTGTGGGTGCAGGGAGGATGCAGTGAAGGAGCTGTGGGTGCAGTGAGGATGCAGTGAAGGTGCTGTGGATGCAGTGAGGGTGCAGTGAAGGTGCTGTGGGTGCGGTGAGTGCAGTGAAAGTGCTGTGGGTGCGGTGAGTGCAGTGAAAGTGCTGTGGGTGCAGTGAGGATGCAGTGAAAGTGCTGCAGTGAGGATGCAGTGAAAGTGCTGCAGTGAGGGTGCAGTGAAGGTGCAGTGAAGGTGCTGTGGATGCAGTGAAGGTGCTGTGGGTGCAGAGAGGATGCAGTGAAGGTGCTGTGGGTGCAAAGAAGGTGCAGTGAAGGTGCTGTGAATGCAGTGAAGGTGCTGTGGGTGCAGGGAGGCTGCAGTGAAGGTGCTGTGAATGCAGTGAAGGTGCTGTGGGTGCAGGGAGGCTGCAGTGAAGGTGCTGTGGATGCAGGGAAGGAGCTGAGGGTGCAGTGAGGATGCAGTGAAGGTGCTGTGGGTGCCATGAGGCTGCAGTGAAGGTGATGTGCGTGCCGGGAAGCTGCAGTGAAGGTGCTGTGGGTGCAGTGAAGGAGCTGTGGGTGCAGTGAGGATGCAGTGAAGGTGATGTGGATGTGGTGAGTGCAATGAAGGTGCTGTGGATGCAGTGAGGGTGCAGTAAAGGTGCTGTGGGCGCAGGGAGGCTGCAGTGAAAATGCTGTGGGTGTGGTGAGTGCAGTGAAGGTGCTGTGGGTGCAGGGAGGGTGCTGTGGGTGGAGGGAGGCTGCAGTGAAGGTGCTGTGGGTGGAGGGAGGCTGCAGTGAAGGTGCTGTGGGTGCAGTGAGGGTGCTGTGCGTGCAGGGAGGATGCAGTGAAGGTGCTGTGGGTGCAGTGAGGCTGCAGTGAAGGTGCTGTGGGTGCAGGAGGGTGCTGTGGATGCAGGGAGGGTGCAGTGAGGGTGCTGTGCGTGCACGGAGGATGCAGTGAAGGTGCTGTGGGTGCAGTGAGGGTGCTGTGGGTGCAGGGAGGGTGCTGTGAAGGTGCTGTGCGTGCAGAGAGGCTGCAGCAGCGGGTTGGACTGGGGACGCGGCCGAGGCTCGGGGCACCACTATGGGGCTGGGGATACAGCCATGAGGCACTGCGGGGCAGGGGACACCATGTAGGGAGTCCTCACTGGGCACGCAGACAATGGGACCCCCCCATTCCTTCCCTGCAGCCTTGGTGACATGAGGGGTTCTGCCCCCTTACACAGGGTGAGCCCTGGGCAAACAGGAGGAGGAAGGCCACAAAGAGGGTGATGCTGAGGGGTCCTGGCGGCTCCCAAGCCCCTGCTGCTGTGCCCCAAGCCCCAGTGGGTGCCCTTGGGAGCTGAGACCTGACCAGGATCCCGCTGGGAGCACCTCCATTCCCGCTCCAAGTCTTCCTTCACTTCCCAACATTCCAGGCTCAGCACTTCCCTTAACTCCATCCCGTGCCAAGTGGGAACAAGCTGGCAGCACCCGGGAAGCAGGACCTGGAGATGCAGGAAGATGCCCGAGAGGTTCATGTGATGGTGGGGCTGCAAAGAGGACCCCAACAGTGGGGTAAGGGGGGACAAATGGGGCAGGGACACACACACAAGGGCTCAGCATCACCCCAGAGCTGCTCCAGGTGACCCGAGGTGCACACAAACCAGCTCCCAGGTGCTCTTTTAAGGGGGAAAAGTGACTTTTTAGCATTAAGAGTTTATTGTGGAGCCAGCCCCGAGGCAGGGCTGGGGCCCGGTTACAGCTCCCACAACAGGCACTGAAGGCCACGGGGTTGAACCCTTGGGGAAGAAGATGCTTTAGAAACGTTGTGGTTGGAGGTGGAACCGGGCTGAGGGGCTCAGAAACCCCAATGGTGGCTTCCCCCCTTCCCTTGTCCCCCTGGAAACCAGGAAAACCTCCTCCAGCTCCTTCTGTTCCCGTCCCCAAGGTACAAACCCCCCTCCCGGGGCTCCTGGTCTGGATTTGCCATGGGAATGAGAAGTCATCACCGGCGTCTCCTGTCTGGGCTCCGGCTCCGGCGGCGGCCACCCCTGGAAGAAAACACGGAGCTGGGGCTGGAGAAGGCTCCAGGGATACCTCAGAGCCTAAAGAGGCTCCAAAGCATCAGGAGAGGGGCTTTGGACACAGGATGCAGGGATGGGATGAGGGGGATCCTCTCCCATTGGGATGAGCTTTAAGGCCCTTTCCAAGCCCCCCTCCCCGGGGCTGTTTCCCACTCACCTCCTCTTGCCCTTGGGGGGCCCCCGCACGAAGCACCAATCCACACTGATGGGCTGCCCCATCAGCTCCTGCCCGTTCAGCCCCTCCATGGCCGCCTGCGCCTCCTTGTAGGTCTCGTACTCCACCAGGGTGTACCCCTAAGGAGCAGGGAGGAGGAAGGCAGGAAGGGCTCCTTGCCTGATGCCAGCAGGGCAAAGGGAAGCTGGGCTGGCAGAACCCGGCCCTACCTTCAGGTAGCCCGTCCGCCGGTCCAGGTTCAGGTGGATGTTCTTTATCTCCCCGTACTCCGCAAACTTGTCGTGGATGTCTTCTTCTGTGGCCTCCTCGTGCACCCCGGTGACAAAGAGGATCCAGCCCTCGACCGCTGAGGGTGAGGAGGGAACCGGCTTCAGTGGAGCTGTGGAAAGGGGAGCCCCCCCCATAGCAGCTGGAGCGCTGCTATGTCCCATTCCCAGCGCTCCGGTACTCACAGCGCTGCGGCCCCGGCTCATCCCCGTCCTGCTCCACGCTGTCGTAGTCCTCACGCACCCGCGCCCGGGAGCCCTCCTCTGGGGAGGGAAGGAGTGAATGGAGCCCCCCCAAACGCCACCGAACCCCATCAAAGCACCGAGGGACCCACACAGGGACCGATCCTCACCCGAGCCGAAGCCTCGGCCCTTCCGCTTCTTGGCCTTCTCCTTCAGCTTGTGGATGCTCTCTGCGGGCAGGAGGGGAGCGGGTCAGGCCCAGAGCATGGCCCCGGAATAGGCAGCGCCCCTCCGAGCCGCTCCCGGCCCCAGAGCCAGAGCCGGTCTCGGTCCAGCTCTAGGTCCGAGTCCAGGCCCAGGTCTACGTCCCGGTCCCGGTCCCACCCCTCACCGTCGCCATCCTCATCCATGGCGAAATCCTCGCCCCCCGCCTCATGCAGATCCAGCACGTCCGCCATCTTGCCGCTCCCGCCGCCGCCGCCGCTGCCGCTGCGGTGCACGCCGGGAGGTGCGCCGGAAGCTCCGCTGCGCGGCGCCATCTTGGGGAGTGCACGGGGAGGGGAGGCGCCATCTTGAGGAGGACACAGAGCGGGAACGACATAGCCGCCATCTTGAGGAGGGCGTGTGGCAGCTGCTGCCGGGCCCTGCTGCTGCCGGCGCACCAAGAGCTTTATTCCGCGGCACAGCGCGTCTGAGAGAGCTCTCCAACGGTAACTTCGGTAACTTCGCACCGGCACCCCGGGCAGTACCGGGCTACAACAGCTCCTCCTTCCCTCAGCCCCTTCCTGTCCCAGTGGGTGCACTTCTCAGCAGCTCTCTCGGTGTTCTCTCTTCCGTTCCTCTGGGCTTCCCTTGCGCGCTTCTCCCGTGCTTGCAGCTGATGACACCCAAGATGTCTGCGCTCTCGCCCAGCTCTTATGGCGCAGCTTCCCGTGCAGCGCTCCCCACACGGGCGCGGCGGCACCGGCATCGC